CTCTACCTAACCTCAACAAGCTGCAGAAGAAGAAAATGAAGAATCATCAAAATGGCGTTAGTACGACGGTAAGATGCAGAAGCTGGTTTCAAAAAAATGCAGACGCTCAAGCTGTGCCAACGATCTGGACTTGGGGTAAGGGATAGTACAACGCGGTGGTGGATACCACGACGAACTCAGTGGATACTGCAACTCAGAGGGCCAATAAAAGGGGATAGCACACCCAAAAAGGAGGATGGCACAACTGCAACCACAGTTGCGGGATAGTAAAACTGGATCTCATTTGGTTTTCCAATGGGATGTCTTCATGCAATTTTCTCTTGAATTGTTGTAGGCCAAGCGGGTCCTGCGAGCTTCCTATAAGGTGCGTTCACGTGATCTTCTCGTGAGTTGCTCTGCGCAACTTGGGCCTTTGGGGCGTTCTACAGGATGTGTTCATGTGGCTTTCTCTTGATTTATTTGTAGGCAACTCGGCATAGCTGAGCATTTACAAGATGTGGCCCTTTCCGCTTCCAGCTGCCCTGAAATGTGGGACACCATCATAGTCTGCAAAAGCAACACATGTTGCCTGACACCTTGGCATTCTTCTACTTGTCTTGTAGTCATGGGCATCAAGTTGTTCCAAGATCAGAAATCTGCTCTGATTGGCTTCGCCTGCCTAATGGAACAATGGTGAGTTGATATTCTTCGTCTACTGTATTTGTACTACCTGGTCGTGACATCCCCCGTTCCTGTGTCCCCTGAATGGCAACTCCTGCTGTGGCTGCGAAACGATGGTCCACTATACGCGGGTCTAGGCGAGGTGTGTTGCTGGAAAGGATTCTGAACCTCTTCAGCGACAGCTTGCCTAAATGAATGTCCGGAAAGGTGGAAAGTGGTGTAGTCACTTCTTCTACAATGGTAACCCAAATACGACTACCAATTTTCTACCAACCTAACAAAATCCACACCATGGTAGCTCAAAATGTCTATCTATGTGGCATGCTTTACTTTAGGGATCAGGAGGTTGCTGTTCTTGATTACAAAAAACTCTTAGACGAATGCCGCAGACATCCCCACCATCTGCTATGCTGGAATACGCTTTGTCCTGGTGCCCTGGTCATTCTTGTCCTGTTCATCAGGGCTAGAAAAGGACTAACACGTGGGGAAGAACTTCAGCCCTCAGCCCTGAAATTGATGTCAGGCACCTGCTTGACAAAGGTGTAGATGCTCTTCAGCATCATCGAAGTCCTGATGCGATCTTCAGCCAGTGATCGTGCAAAAGCTTGCTGGTGCAACAGCGAGTGGGGTGTCACAAGTTAAGAACATGGTCCGTGCAAAGGCATTGTCTATCGTGGACACATCGTGAATGAAGTCCGTTTCTCGCGTTTTGAGTGGCGGGCAGTCACCAAATTCAGAGGAAGCCCACCGCCAGAATGCAAATGGCTGGCGTACAAACTGTCTCGCAGACTTCGCTGGCACGCTCAAATCGTCGCAGCAAGTAGGTGCTGCCATACACCAGCTGTTGAAGGCAAGGTGAGCACAAAACTTAAGCTGGGATTCGACATTGGATTGAGTCCCAGCAATGAAGTCAGGCAAGATGGAGGTTTCCCAAATTGGGACAACCTTTTTTGGGGTCACTCTAGGTAGGATTATAATATTGTTGAGGTAGGGGTGCCCCTATTTGAGGAAACTGCCAAATTCTACGAGGCTCACCAGCCTGCCCTTGCCCTGTCCTTTGTTCCAGTTTAGAAGTTCAGAATGTGCTAAATGACCTTCATGATGCTTCCCCATGCTTCCCTGTTCTTCCCTAAACCCTAAACCCTAGGACCTTAGACCCCTAACCCTACATAATAGTCCCGGCTTTCTTTCTATCGATAAAAAATATCCTAAATATGCCTAAATAACCCCTGGATAATCCTAAACCCCAGACCAAAGTAGTTTCCATGTTCTGGTCCATTATCCCCCTATATACCACTACATAACCCCCTATAAATCTTCCTACTTCTATGTAGCTTCAGGGCAAGCCAGCCAGTCACTGGTTGGTAAGAGGAATTCCGCCCTGCACCTTGGCATCAGATGCAACGTTGTATAGGGATTATATTGGGATAATGGAAAAGAAAATGGAAACTATAGGGATTATATAGGGGTTTTATAGGGATTATAGGGGATATATTGGGGTAATATTGGGATAATGGAAAAGAAAATTGACATTATAATAGGGGATATATAGGGGATATATTGTTTAAGGTCTACACGGTTTAGGGCTTCCAATGGCAAGCGAAAGGGCACATAAGCAAAGATGCAGCTTCATGATGTTTTGCGAGCGTATGGCAGGACGAAATGGTTGATGGCCGCTGGCATGCAAAAGCGCAGTCTGAAGATCTGGATGATGGATGGGGGAATGGCCGGATATATGATCGGTGGTGATGATGGTGAGATGAAAAATGCCAACTGCTAACGTGGAATGAGGAGCAGGACGGAGATAAGAATGATACGAGGCAACATCCGAAAGAAAACTCTGCATAAGATGACGCCCGCGATGTAGAAAATGCAACAACATGTTGATGGAAATGATTGGCGCTATCCAGCTGTGACGATGCTGATGATGAGGATTCAGGTGAGGCCGAGCTGGAGGATGAGGTGGCGATGAGGACAACGAACGCATTGTGCTGAGGTTGAAACTGCTCTTTCATTATACCAATGCTGGCGATGAGGATATCCAATAAAATGCCAATCTTCATGCAGGCCTGATCCTGAAGCAAAGAGCGTTCGAAGGGGTGATGCTAGCAGCGACAAGCATTCTCATGTTGAGGTTGATGCTTCCATGATGGTGGCATGACATTGAGCTAAGTAGCGATGGCTGATTCACTACCACCTGAGGGCCTTGGGATAGGTGGATGAAGCCATACGCATGGTTCCATCAACGCAAAAGATGTCGTAGTTGATTATCTTCAGAGCCAAAATTCTGAAGATGAAGTCATAGAGGACAACAACAATGAGAGTGACAATCAGGCTAGGGTCAATAACAATGCTGCTGAACATGATGACAAGCTTACATATGATGCTGACGCTGCGGCTTGGATGAAAATGGCGATGGTGCTGCCGCTGACGTGATGCTGGCATAATCAAGTTCAGGTAAGGTGACGGAGAGCAGCGCAAGTAGCGCAGGCGCCATGAAGAGCCTCTCGCGGCAAGAGGCATGCTTGCAAGGCCTATTAGAGTGGCTACATGGGACTGCTGCCGGAAATTGAGAATCAAACGGAAACGAAAATTGAAAATGAAACGGAAACTAGGTTGGGGGGGGGGGGGCTAGATGGGATTGCTAAATGCCTTTTCATAAGGTGACGACCAACCCTATACTGCTCGCCTCTTTCCTCACTTGGCAAAATCCGAGCACGAGACACCCAGTGGTGCTCCTGAACCCTTTCTGCCGTTGGCCTGTTCCCCGCCAGATACTGAGACCCCGAAGCAGTTTGATGGAGCTTGATGCAAGGTGCTATGGTGCTGTAGACAGCGTATCTCGGCAGGCTCTTGGACCAAAGCTATGCAGGAGGGCAATTGCTAGCAAGGAAATGGACCCAGCGCCGGGTCTCAGTTGGAACGTCGCCCTGCAGAGGCTGCATCGGGCCCTTTGCGATCTACCAGGCAAGCTACACAGAAGGATTCCCCGTTCCTACTTCACGCGCCAGCTCATGACCGCTGGCCCTTTGGCCTTGGAAACCTTCGAGAAGTAACCAGTTGGCGCTCTGAGCACGCTGTAGCGCTTCTCCGTCGTCTTCGGCAGCATGAAGTCAAGCTCCTTGAGCTGCTGACGGACATCGTCTGGCATCTTCGAGTGGCAGCCGGCTGTAAAGTACACCACGGAGAATCGATTTCCCTCGAAGTCCGCAACCTCGTGTGCAGTGTTGCCATTGAACAGGGCCAGGTTCTTGGAGATGTCCAGCGTGAGCTTCTTGTTCTCGGGCAGGGACTTCAAGTTCCCACTCTTGTCATCCTCAGGCCAAACGGAGAGCTCGCCCCCGGTGAACTCTCCGAAGGCCTTGATCATGCTGGGCCCGAAGTTGTTGCCGTCTCCTGGGCTGTTTTTTGGTCATCCTGAAGAGTGTGGCAGTTTGCTGCGTCCGGGGTAGCTTTTCCTGAGGATTGCAATATGACCTTATCTTCGCTGGGCTGAGACCCGCTGTGGAGCAAACTTGGGAAAAAGAGAGGAGAGCACCTCAAACTCAATTGCAAGACCTATGCCACGACAATGACAGCCAATGTAGCCTCAACCCCAAAAGCTCAAGCCCTACACTCTTCAAATTCAAGCGTAAAGCACAAGCCTTTCGGATGCACTATGTTTGTTACATGTGAGTCCAAATCCTGCAGGTGAAGCATCCTTGACCCATCATGTTGCAGTGCTTGCTGATGTCTTGGCCCTGTCGGTGGGTGCTGTAGGAACCTAACTGTGCTGGAAAGTACATGTGCAGCCCAGTCTCGGTGGCGGCGAGCAGCGTAGTTGCAGTTCAGATTCAAACTCGTGAACTTGAACTGCTTGGCTTGCTTCGGCAGCTTGCCATGCAACCAGCGGGCCTAAGTAATTGCTGCCACGCTGTTTGACTTCACACCTTCCTGCTATACTTGGATTAAGGACCCCTACGCATGCAAAATGTCTTGGCACAATTGCAAAGCGGCGATCAGCTTGGCCACGTTCGGATACTCGCGCGCAGGCCTGGTCACGATCAGTCTGCCTTACTCAGGTATGGCAGACATATGCGGGCAGCCATACGCGTGGGTTTGAGATTAAGTCAGCGAGTTGAAATTTGATAAGCCCGAAAAAGTAACAACACAAAAACAGATTTCAGAAAAAAATGGAATTGCTCCTGAGCCAGCTGCCGCCTCGATCTCTCAGCAGGCCCAGGGTGTCGCTCTTCACGAACTTCTGCCCTTCTGGCATGACGTTCACCCTGAAAGGGTTCTTTGAGAAGCTCCAGGCTTTCAAGATGTCCGTGACCTCTTCAGAGGACACAGCACGTCGCTGCTTGGCGGCCTTCTTCAAGATCTCATCCGCCTTGCGGTTGGCGACCAGTCGGTGGGCCCTTGCGACAAGCTTGGGGCAAAGAAAGTGCGCAAACCGTTTTAACCCGAGGCGTTTGAAGATGTCCCTTCCAAGCCTCCCAGGAAGCTTTGAAAAATCGGATCCGCCAAACATATCTAAACATGTTTATGTTCAATCGGCTAAAGCTTTCAGCGTATTTAGCCCGACCCTGCCTGACGAACACACTCTCCGTGCATCCTTTCTCAAGGGTCAGCTGCCATCGCTCCAGCTTGCCTTTGCTAAAATCAACCCAAGCTCCCTTTATTGCTCGAGGTCGGAAGAGAAACAAACTCGAATGCTGATCGGGGCACACCTGCGGCAAAGCTCTCTGATGAACCAGGATTCCAAGGCATTGTCCACCGCGGTGAGCTGGTCGTCATGCTCAACCTTCGACCTAGGGGCTGCAAACCAAATGATGAACTCCTATCGCTGATCACGTTATTGCTTGCTAATCTGCTTTGTCGGTTGAAGATGTTTAGATTCAAGCAGCTCCTTGAAGTACCGAGTAGTACTGGAACAGTGCTAGGAATGCATTACACGGAACTACCGCTTCCTGTCGGGAAGGGGCCTCGTTTGCCAAGCACCGGCTCGTTGAACCAGGAAATTTGTCTCCAAGTGACTCGACTCTGCTTAAGACACGTGCTATCATCAGCCGAATATCTGGATTATCTGGGAGAATTCATGCATATCCATATCTGGTTACCTAAGGACGGTTCAGAAGACTGTGTATTATCTCAAGTCGATGTACCCAACTCTTCTCGAAGTCTTACTTGCGCCTGGCTAGCAAGTAAAGTCAGTGAATTGTGTGCGCAGAATGGAATCGAGTCTAAAGTTATCGTGCTGAAATTGAAAGAAGACGTTTATCAATTCTATCGCCCAATGTACATGATCGTTTTCTTCCGTGCCGCTTTTACAGTTCATGGAAACTGCATCAAGAAAACTGTTACTATTACTCTTATTCTTCTTATGACATGTATGATTTCTACGACTTTTATCATTAACTGATGCACCCCCACCTGTCAATCGGCTCATCTCGAATCTTCCCACCAGTGACCTTCAAGGAAGGCTGCAAAGATAACTCATCCCAGAGCTGATGATGGCAATTATGCACAATAGTAGTAATGACAATAATACTAGCAGTAACAAGAATACTGAAAATAGCACCTTTGATCGGACAATGTGGAAGACATGTCACTTCTAGATTCTAGGTTGCATTCATTCATGACAATCAAGACAGCTTCAATGACATGGAGCCCGGCCTTAATAAAGCCGTGCTCATAGTCGTAAATCCAATCGATCGGGTAGGCTCCGAGCGCCAGGGACTGGCCAACTGTCTTGGCCTTGGAGTAGCGCTCGTAGCGCACGTGGCTCTTGGATCCAGGAGCCTTTGCGGGAAACAGAGTCGAATCAATCGCACTTGCGGATGGGAACTAAGGAAGATGGGAAGGGAACCGCCCAATTGACTAGAAACTGAAGCATGCATCTGCTTCATACGCACAGGAATTCCAGAAGCCCCAGGCTTCAAGGTCATTTTGTTTGGCGGTCTGGCAGCGCTCCCCTACATTCAAGGCCTGGTAGTGGGAAAGCCTGCCCCCTCTCCTTCCTCAATGTTCACCTAAGGAGGCCAAATATCACATGCTCTAGAGACCCCAGCATGCGAGGGGTTAAACGATGGCACCCGAAACAGAGCTCTAGACCCAATTCCAACCTTCTGGATACCGCGCTGCCAGATCCAAACCCTTTTCAAGCCAAGCCCAAAAACCGAACCGACTGAAGCCTGCCTTGGCGTGGGGACGATACTCGAGCTTTGTCTCGGACGTCCAGCGTGTGACCAATTCAAACGTTTGCCACCTGTATGCCCCCTCGCCACCGTCGCGCACCTCAGATCACCCAGCCCTTCCGTTGCAGGCTACTTAATACGCAGCCCTGAAGGTTCTCGTGGGGTTCCGGGCCATGAGGTCTGGAGCTTGAACTTCGGAGCCGTGAGAGTTCAGCTTTTAGTTCACTGCCGAGGAGCAAGGCCCTCCTTGCGTGGCTCGAACATATAGTCGGGCTTTGGCCAGGCTTCCTTGTACTTTGCGGTCTGGTAGCGGAGCCACTCTGCTTTGGTCATCTTTGATGCCTTGATCGCAGCCAGACCTCAAGAAGACCAGTTGTGAAACAACGAGCTATTTCAACAGTCAACTTGCCTTGATCCGGACTCCAACTGACGCCAAGATGCGACCTCGGTCTTGTCGAACGATCTTCGGCTTCCCGGTGCGCTCACTGATCGCTTGCACCTTTTTCAGCTTCTTCATGACTTTGAGGGGCTGTGAACGGCCCATGGCAGATGCGTGGAGTGCTTTCGCAGCTTCTGCGGATGCTTCAGTGCCAAAATGGCTGATCGACACCGGAGGTTGGTAGCACGCGCAAGATGCAACTCTGGCCCTACTTGCTTCCAGCGCTGATACATACACACACGCCCTAGCCTTCAGCGACATGTCTCCCAAGCTTGATCTTGAAATCTGTCATGCAATCTAAACCTGCACATCGCTTGGAGCGTAAGCAACTGACTCGAGGTGTCTGAATCTCAAAGGCGACCGCCATGGCTGCCACACAAGGAAGCAGCTTTTTCCAAGGAAGCAGTAGAAGTAGGTTCTTGTGGCTGGGGATGCACGTTCACGCGCACGCTGAGGCTTGGACTGAGCATCAAGGATCACAGTATAACTGAATCTTGTTCAAGGACTCAACGAGTCAAATCCTGTTTCAACTCCGTGGGTTGGCAGGGGGCCCTCGAATTTAGAGGGTGGTGGAGCTCTTCTCGCTCTTGAGCAGAAGGATCAACGACTGGAAAGCCTGCTTCACCAAGCAAACATGAACGATATACAGCTGTTGTGTTCGAGTAGACGTCGAGAGCCAGCCACCTAACAGTGAATTCTGGAAGGAATGCCTAGGGAAAGCAGAACAATTGCGCAAGCAGCCTCAGCTTTGCATGATAACATTCACGCCAATCAGGTTTGTTCTGCCAGGAAGCAAGGTCCATCAGATGTCGGCTAGTGTTGACAATACAGCCGATTGGCCGATTCTACGCGCCCAAACTTGAGCTCTTGTTGCACTCCCCTGCCCTCAACAGCGTGATAGAGCCCATGCTGTCTCTCATGATGCTATGAACTCATTGGTAAGGCTTCTCTTCCGACAGAGGTTGGCTTGATCTGATATCAACTTCAGGGCAAATGAGGTGCAAGCAGAAAGAAGGAAAGCAAATCCACTGCGCTGCTGGTTGCTTTCTTCAGGCCCATCCCTCAAGGCCCTCAGAAATTGCCACGTGAAAATCATGTTTTGCACATTCAACTGACATCTGCCAACTTCCGACCTCTTGTTAGCAATGAATGAAGGTAGTAGTCACCATACAATCCCTGCTTAATAGAGCAGTGTCCATTTTCTCTGGGAATCCTTCATTCCCTGCTAACCAAGGGTAGGAATTCCCCTTGACCCTAGATCTCTCTTTAAACCCTAGTTTCCATGTCATTTTCCATGTTCTTTCACTTTGAGTTTGACATTATTGGGATAATACGCCTATATGACCCTACAAATCCAATATAACCTCTACATAACCCTATACTATCCCTACATACCCCCTATGTAGCCCCTACATAACCCCGTATTTCCCCTACATAACCCTATATGGATCCTATAAAACCCTATATAACCCTAGATAATCCTATATAACCCTAGATAACCCTAGATAACCCTATATGGATCCTATATCCTTAGGCAGCGGGGCATGTGCCCGGCGGGATGCACAGAGCAGCACCAGACTTGGCCAGCAGCGAGGCGACCGTCAAGGTAAGCTCGTCTTTGCCTTGCACGCTGCCACCCAAGGTTTAGGGTTCAGGGTTTTTAGGATTGAGGGTTTTAGGGTTTGGGGTTTATAGGGATTATGGGGTTTATAGGGTTTATGGGGTTCAGGGGTTTAGGGTTCATAGGGTTTTTGGGGTTTGTAGGGTTTATAGTATAGGGTTTATGGAGTTGATGGAATTTAGGGTGCACTGTAGCTTCTTATATAGGGTTGTATAGGCTTATATAGAGATTGGGGAAGTACTACCCCAATAATAGCGAACCAAATGGAAAAGAACATGAACATGAAATGTACACTGGGGCCAACCCTAAACCCATTGGGAGATGTAAGCTTCGGGGTTTAACGGTTTCTCATGCGTGGTTAGCCGGGAACTGAGCGAATGGAAAAACAAAATGACTACCATTCCTGCATTCCTTGCCAACCAAAGGTACGCTAGTGGCCTATTTAACTAGAATAGGGTTTGGGATGTAGCAAACTATGGTTAAATACGGATTCTAAGGGAATGGCATCGGGAATCACTCAGACTGAGTTCCTGGCAGCATCCTCAGCTATGTCAATGATTTAGGCTGTAAAGCTCTGCCACGCATGCTTTTGAGACAGAATAAGGGCCTTGTCAAAATCAGACTATCACCAACCGCTTACTGCCTGAACTATGTTTGCCAAAACACAGGAGCAACGTGACTTGCAAGCCATGCCGGACCTGACATACGTTTCAAGTCTACAAAATGGCATCCGTCCTGGCAGTGCGACGACCTGCACCCCAACAGGCTTGCCCGCGGCGAGCCCCATGGGCACTGCTGTGGCCGGGAACTCCATGGCGTTCCTTATCACATGAACCCAACAATTGGCCTATCTTCCAAACCATACTGCCCTTTTGCCAATATATTGGTAATGTTATTAATATTACTACTATTAATAGTATTAATGTTAATAATATGCATACTATTAATATTACTATTATGGTGGTAGATCAAAGGCACTGCGCGGCTTCTGAGTGCCAGGCAACTGCAGATGAGGTGCAAGTTCGCTCACAGGCTTTGAAGCTTGATTCAGTCCAAGCAGCCACACGGATGTGAAGCAGCTATCGAAAACTCGAAGAGCCAGCTCATCATGAAAGCAGCCATGGCCTTATTGGCCATGCATCTAGGCATGCGAGCGAGCTTGAAGAAAGGTTTGCACCGAATGACATGCATTTACAGCAGTGCTCAAAGATGCCCTTTGCTGAGATCTGCCTCGGCCCTGGCCATCTTGCACTCCAAACTGAGGGGGCGGGGCCCCAGTTTTGGCTGGCATTTATAGCTTCTCAAAATTGAGAAATACCCTTTCATTTCCCATTGTTTTTTCTGCATCGTTTTCCATGATTGCAGAAACGATCAGGCTCTTGCATGCTGCATTGCCTCAGGAAAATATGGCTGCACAGCTGGGAGGGGCACAGGGAAGCGTCGGCATCACCAGCACCTCTTCATTCGAGCATGTACAGGGGGGAGTAGCGAAAGGGTGGAATTCCATCAGCAGAAACCTTGCAAAACGCCTTTCCGTTGTGACTCACTCGTCTGAACCTCATATAATTGGATAGCTCTCCCCCTACACCCATGACAATGGAAGTTCTTTGCTACATCTTCCACATGAGGAGAGGAGCTTTGATAAGATCGGTCAATTGAAAAGGAATGAGCCCTTGGAGATCCTTGGAGTCCTCCGCGAAATCGCAAGTCTGCGCGGTGCTGGGGAAGTTCTGCCAAGAAAAGAACCCTAAAATCCAACAGGCTGGCACATCTGCACCTGACAGCGCGTCAGAAGTTCTCGTAGTTTGGCCTCCACCTGCCACGAGAATGCGGATTCCCAGGGCCAGGGATAAGGGTTCAGGATTGGAGGATATTGGAGGACAGCAATCTTAAAGTCACGGCCGCCTGGCAGAATTCCAATTCTGCGTGCAACAAATGCAAGAAGTGGTAGTTCCTAAAAATAGGGGGGGTTCTATGGACATGGAAAACTAAAGTCATGGGAGCAGGTGAAACCTTCTGGCCCAATCAGACCTCATGCAACTGCAGCGATGACTACAACTGCAACGGCAACAGCCCCATGCTTGGATACTGGTTTGCTGTCCTAGCAAGACTGGCAATCTAGCATTCCAGGAGTCCCTACTTCCGACAATTGTTGAAATAGGTGCCCGACTACACACCCAGACCGTCAGCTAGAATGCGTCAGCCTCGGCAGCACGCTTGAGGCGCTGCCTGACACGCACAAGGATTGGGTGAGGATTGATTTAGTTTGCAAAGCTTCTTGTCAGGACTCTCGCGGAGTGCAGAAGCACTCGATGAAGAATAACTTACAGTGAGGGAAAGCCTGTAACAATCTGCTGAGCTGTTCGGGTACAAGCAAACCAGTAGCCCAGCCATAGCAGGCATCTCGACTTCACATCCTGAACCATAAGCCCTCAGAAGGCTATCCCATGATGAGGTTTGCCTCAAGCCACCACCTTAACAACCACCATATTGTGTAACATACTAGAACACGACTATACTATACCCCCACCACCAGTAGGGAAGAAGGAAATTTATGATATAGCTGTTAAGGTTTAAGGTCAGTACTGAATGGGGGAATAAATATATATAATCGGGATAATAAGCGATTATATTCCCTCATTCCCTTCTGAGAACCAGTAAGTTGTCAAACATTGAGACTTCACGAAAGATGATGCAGATCGTTTCAGGATGCACGCAAGTGCTGAGGACCCAGCTCCACGGGGGGCTCCAGAGCTTGAATCGCATCCTCCATAGTCATTGGGAAGACATGTTGATGAGACATCTGCTTAATCATGCTGATAGGAATATTTCGATTACCATCATCGACATCAGTCTTGTTGTTGGAACTACGCTCTCCATCCTCATCCTGAATACTTCCTCGGGGTCCTTGTAGCTCGGATTACAATATGTTTGGGCCCTGACAAACTCCGTCAAGCAAGCGCTTTGGGGCGCTGGGCAGCCAGCCTCCAGGAAAGCGAGCATGAGGCCAGGAAACGTAAATGGCGAGCACCCGATGCAGTAGCCTGACAGGTGGGGAGTGAAGCACCATTGCTTGCTTGTGGCACCTCTTCTCTTCCACGAATTGCTTCGCTCCACAAGTGAAGGCTGGTTTGACTCGCATGTTTGGGGACGTGGAGAGTTACTGCAACAGGCAGAACGTGTAGGAAAGTCTATGAAGAATCCTTGTACCAAGCACGCTCAGCAAGGTCCCTTGCCATGCCGTGAACTGATCAGAGTTCTCCTGCATCTTGCGTCAATCATTGGATGTCGTCACGATGTTCAATCAGCGCTGCAGCATGATGATCCGCCAAGCAGCGCAGAAGTTCGCCGACGCCGAAAAGGGGACCCTTTTGGCATAGCACCTTGAAAGGCTTCCGACTTGCAGCACAGAACTCCCTCCAAGGAAACCTTTGTCCACGAGAGTGCTAGAACGACACACTCCACCCCATCAAGTTGAGAAAAC